ACCTTAGGGTCTCACGCACAGCTTTCCAGCTGAGTTCCTCTTCAGGATTCAACGTAATCAGGATGCTCTGGGCAATCCGTTTCCGTCGTTTTTTCCCGATGAGTGCATCATCCAACCGACGCGTCAGTGGTTGTACCAGCTGCGCATATTCGGGGATGTGATCCCTCATCCAGTTCGTCGCGCAAAGAAATTGCTGCAACTGTCCTGCATTCACTGGGAATGGGATCTGACACAGGGCCTCCAATCGGTCGGGATCATGACGGACTCCTATGCCGTCAATGATTCTACCGCACCACTTCACTTTCGTGTTGTAGAGGCTGCATTTTAGTGGGTTCAACTTAAGCCCATGTATGTCTACCAGGCTAAGGAATTTCTCCAGCACTTGCAGGTACTCGTCGATGCTTTTCGCATACAACAAGATGTCGTCAATCCAGACTAGAAGATGTTTATGCAGCAGTGAGCTGCAGACATTATTCATTGTCTTTTGGAAGTACAACGCACTATCAACATGTCCTTGCATTACTCGACTTGGCGTCATTATCTTTCCATTGATCTGGAACGACAGGATCTCTTGGCTCGCTTTTTCAAGCGGCATCTGCCAGAATCCTTTGATTAAATCGAACGTCACCAGGACGTTTGCCCTTCACCTTCTGAAGTATTTCTACTTGGAATGGCATGGCACCCGCACAGGGTATCGGCATGCTATTGATGACTCGGTAGTCAGTGGTCAAGCGGAAATGTTGGAGAATTTCATCCTCCGCCCACTCCCGGACTTTCGTCTCTTTCATCCTCTTGCCTTCCGGCTTGAGGACGGGGTTTACTGGACTGCAATACTTGGACTGGTCATTTTTCCAGATCACGCTCGCATTTACAAGCGTACTGCAAAAATCGTCCATTAATCTCTTTTCCAGAGGATTCACATTTCTAGACGCGCACCGGTAGGGGCGTGAATCGCGTTTCAGCGTAATGGACATCGGAGGGACATTCGCTGGTGGGTCACAGGCTCGAAACTTTGTTCGCCAGATATCCGCATTGCGCACAATGGCGCCTAGCGCATCAGCACGGTCCTCTAGGAATCCGGCTTTGTACGCTTTGCTCAGCATATCTCAAACAATTGTAATCCGTTGTGTTTACAATGGATCGAACCTTTCAGGCTCTTCGCCCTCTACCCAAGTTCTTTCGACCTGGTTGATGTCATTGTAGGAGTCTACGACGTCGTCCAACATGAGGTCGAACTCGGGGGCATCTTTGTCCTCCAAGTCATCTCCTTCATCCAGTCGTTGCCTTTCGGCTACTTGCTCGAGTGGTCGTTCGACGTCAATCCCAATACTTTTCAGGGAGTCGTCGGAGACTAGGAACTCTGTTCCATTCATCGTGATGTAACAGATTGACGGCTGGGGTACCCTCACGGGCCCTGCTGCCGTGTAGATAGTTAGTCTCAGAGCTATTCTTCCGATAAGCTCGAGAACTTGACCATCGGGTCCGTCGGCCTTGTCACGGCCTGCTGGAACAGGCTGGACATGCATGCCTGGCTGGAGCTGTTTCAGCTCCATAACCATCGGTTGGGGGATAATGTTCAACGTAGCGCCTGTATCTGCACAATACGGGACGTCTAGAACCCCATTAATATTCAACCGCTTTTCGCCGGTTGGATTAGAGAGGATCTGGTTTCCCTTTGCTCTCTGGAGTACTCGTCGCTTTGCAGCGGCCTCTTTCTCTGGGCTCAACGCGTTTTCCAACGGCGTGTTGTAGCCATCATCCTCAGAGACATTTCCAAGCTCATGCTCTGCCTCTATCTCGACGACTACTGGAGGCTTTGCACCATGTCTTTTCGAGGGAGGATTATAGTCCATCGGGTCGAATTGAATCCCGTGGGATCGGGCTTTCGCCTTCTGCTTTCGCAGTGTCTCATCTGCATCTTTCCGGCCTAAAGCTGCTGAAGAGAGTGTGGAAGACATATGAGTATAGGGTTTTAAATGAGGTACTTCGAAGTATATTCAATGAATCCTCACTACCCCTCATCAATCCCAGCACTTTGGCTCTGCCTCTGCGCTCTTGCCGCGTGCCCTTCTTGCATGTTTTCCATGCATGGCCGCTTTCTTGGCATAGTTCGCACTTCGGAGTTGACTCGGTCGCTTCGACCTTACGAACAGGAATGGGCCCGGGTCCTTTCGGATCTCGCCCTTCTAGCTCATCTGAGCTATAGTCGTAGTCAACGGTGTCCGACGGGACGTCATTGATATTAGCCGGTCTCTTTGTTTCTTCATCGGACGCCGGGAGTTCTTGCTCCGGCTGTTTGTCCGACTCGGACCGTACCAGTCTAGTCATCTCTGACTGACAGTGCGTCCGTTCTGCAGGGACAGCGGCTGCCCGTGCTTTGTCCCTCAATGTTTCAGAGGAGCCAAAGCCGTAGCCTGCGTCGCGGTCGATGGGCTCTGGGTTTTGACTGCTGTGGTTGCGGTGTCGGCCCTGTTTTTGGCCTCTTCCACCATTGCCACTGCGTCCATAACCTCGGCCACCGCCTTGTTCGCGGCTATCCGATCTGAAGTTACCTTTCCAGGCCTTCTTGTCAGATGGTTGTTAGAACCTTTCGGCCCTTCATCCTGCCGTGCGCGCTTGGGTTCTCTTCCCAAAGCTGCATCAGATTCAGATCTCCGTTTTTCAGGAGCTGATTTCTTAGCAGTGTCGAAGCTGCGTTGGTTTTCCTGCGCTAGCTCCGTGATGTCCTTAGCAAGATCACTGACATCATATTTTGGATTCATATTTTGGTTACGATCTACCCTTTCGGTTAGACTTGCTCGCAACGTCGCCGGTTTGACCTTCGACAGAATCACGGAGAAGATTTTCTTCCGCATCTTGTCGTTTTTGAGGTCTTCCGACAGCCCATTCCCTTCAATGAGGCTGGAAGCCTCTATCAGGAAATTTACCACGCGCATGGTAACATCCTTTTCAGATATGTTCCACCGTAATTTCTCGAGCGCATTTTCAGCGTTCGGAATCGCGTTGTTCAAGGGCTTTGACATGATCTCCTTCATCTTTTTCAAGATGAATTCGTCATTCACTTCGTCCATTGTAACAAACCAGCTAAAGCGAGCCATGCCCTCAATGAGTTCGGCAGGCTCAGCCAAAGACTGGATGGACGGCAACGCGGTAGCGTAGTCGCGTTTCATGCGCACGCATTCCATTTTCAGGTCGCGTTGGAATTTCTCCCATTTCTTGGTCCACTTGACCAGAACCTCTGGGGAGAAACTCGTGAGTTTTGGCGGGGTCACGGTCGTGATGCTCACCATCCCGCTAGGGGCGGTGTCACTATCACTCGTGTCGCTCATTCTCCCTGGACTTTTCAGACCAGTCGCGCCACTCGAGTCTTCTCAGACGAGTCTAGCACTAAAGAATTCTTTGTAGTGTCTCGTGGAGACGACTCACAAATAACTCCAACGAGGGGAGGCGCAAGCTCCCGGAAGTCAGCGCAAGCTATTTTAGCGACCCGTTCCTTTACAGGCGCGGGGCTTAACAGCAAAATGTGAAAGTGAGAAATCGAAGACTACCCATCAACTGTCGGATTCTATCTACCAATCATAGGCATGCAATTTAATACACCACCAATCAGAGTACAGTTGCTGGGCCCAGGACATTAGGGACGCG